GGCCCCATGTATTTCATGAGCCTATTACTGTATATGCATCGTTAGGAATAGCCTTTATTCATTAATTATTATGTTGTTAATAAACCTAATAATTGAACCTAATAGGTAACAATCATATAAGGAACAGATGTAGCCTTGGGAGCCACACCCAATTGCTGTGGGAAAGTAGAAAGTGGATAAACGGCGGGGAGATCAACACCCACTGTTAGACTATGACATGTCAGTCAGTCCGACTGGCGCAGGTCACAGTCCTAGCGCCGTATACTGCATTAGAGTCATCTGTTGGGGATCGCGACACCCGTCACCGACGTCTTTCTTCCTTGTCCTTGGTCGCTCAGTGGCTTCCGGCACCCACACCATAGAGAGAAAGCAGCAGGCAAAGACACTGCTCCTCTTGTTGACAGGGCCGGCGCCTGCTACTCTGGCGGCGTTTTGTGCTGGGTTTTTCTTGACACGCTTCCCAGTGGGCCCTCCCCCCTTCACTCTACTGTTAACGTAAATGTACGTGTGCGGCAGGGAATGAAAGGGAAGGCAAAATAAGAGAGAGAAAAAAAACATTTCTGTGTCTTTTAACCCAAGTCTGGAGCCGGTCGGCCGAGCGGACAGCACGCGGGACTTGTGATCCTGTGGTCCTGGGTTCGATCCCAGGCGCCGGCAAGAAACAATGGGCAGAGTTTCTTTCACCCTATGCCCCTGTTACCTAGCAGTAAAATAGGTACCTGGGTGTTAGTCAGCTGTCACAGGCTGCTTCCTGGGGGGTGGAGGCCTGGTCGAGGACCGGGCCGCGGGTACACTAAAAAAAAAAAAAGCCCCGAAATCATCTCAAGATAACCTCAAGATAACCTCAAGATACACATCAGCCTGTAGCCAACTGTGCCAGAGCCTTCATGTGATCAGTTGACCTGATATCCCGTGTATCAACCTGTTGGGCTAACAAGTTCCAGATGTGAGTCAGCCTAGTTTTGAATGATCGCTGAATGAGTGATATTCTTGAGAATAGTACTTCCAGCATGAGACTGTTGAAGGTTGAGAGCCTAGTGTTATGAGTGGCAACTACTGGTAGTCCATGGAGTTGGGCAAGGTGTGGAACTTTGAGGATGTTGGCCTTGTACAGAACAGTAAGACTACCAACGTCCCGACGATGTTGCAGGCTCTGATGTTCAGACTGTTCCCACCAGACTTGGTCAAGACTAGAGATGATCCTTCTTGCCTGTCTCTCCACTTTGTCCAACAGTCTGATGATTGATAGGGGGCAGGCGATCCAGGAAAAGGGTGCATATTCTAGATGAGAGCAAACTTGTGCTTCATTTAAGGTTTTGCCACCCTTGCTGTCAAGTAGGTATGAGATGTGCTATAGGGTTGTAAGTTTTCTGGCTGCCTTTTGAGCTAGGTTAAGCACATGGCACAATCTTTCTCCCTCTTTCTCTTTTTCTTCCTCTTTCTCCCTTTCTCTGTTTGCTTGTCCGGTATCCGTACCTGAGCGTTTTTCCCGCGGCTCTGCCGTTTTCAGCAGGTCCTGCAGTATGAAAAAATTAAAATTTTAAAGCAGAAACCATATACTGTATAAAATGTAATAAATCACACTATAGAATGAAAAAGCAATGTAAAGGACCTAGGAGTAATCATGTCCAGAAACCTTACCTTTACAGAACACCATAAAGTAGCTGTCACGGCTGCAAGAAAAATGACAAGTTGGATAACAAGGATTTTCCAAACAAAGGATGCCATACCAATGATGATACTTTTTAACACTATCGCTCGCTTTGGACACCGATCACGTCCATTTTTTTCTCTCGAGTCCTAGCCGTGGACAGGACTCGCATCCACTACAAAAATATTTGTATAAAATTCATTTTTTATCCGTTTATAGCACAAGAATTAAGGTGAGAAAACTGAAACGAGTATACACATTTAGGTGACGCCGCACGCTCGCCCGCACCATTGGCCTCACGACTTCAAAGTCTGCGGTGCACGCGTGGCATGGGCGATAGTGTTAAGACACTGGTGCTCTCTAGGGAGGAATATTGTTGCACTCTAACAGTCCCATTTAGAGCCGGAGAAATTGCCAACCAATATAGCGTGCCAAGATCTTAATTATTGGGACCTATTAAAAGTTCTAAATATGTATTCTCTAGAGTGCAGGCGAGGGAGATACATAAAATCTACATGTGGAAGATATTAGAGGGACTGGTTCCAAATCTGAACACAGAAATAACATTATATGAGACCAGTAGGCATAGCAGGATGTGCAAAATACCCCCGTTGAAAAGCAGAGGTGCAATAGGTACGCTGAAGGAGAACTCTTAATATGAGGGGCCCAAGACTTTTCAACACTCTCCCTCTACACATAAGAAGCATAACTGGCCGGCCTCTCACAGTTCAAGAGACAACTCGACAAACACCCCCAAAGAATACCTGATCAACCAGGCTCTGATTTATACGTCATGCTGTGAGCAGCCACGTCCAACACAAAGGCTGCAACTGTGAAGGTTGTAACCTTCTCCTTCTTTTCTGACGAAGAACTGCTTTCCAGAAGGGTCCTTAGGTCATTGATGCTTGGTTGGTCAGGTCGGAGGTGCATCATGTGTTGTGTCTGGTTGCAGCTCTTCGCTGTTACCTGCGCGCCTTGGCTTTTGTGGCCGGGGATGCTCTTTGGGTTGATCCCTGTTCCTGGGCTCGGGTCTCCCAGGTTGTCCACAGGCTTTTCAAGTCTAGTTAGCCTGCGGTCTGTCCTTGTGCCCATGACGTTCGGAAGTTTGCTGGTTTGGCAACATGTCTTGGGCTGATATTTGGGTTGAGGGATTTTGGAAGTTAACCAGGGTCCTGGCCACCCGGTATTTGGTTAATGTTCCTAGTTCTGGGCATTCGTGCATGGCTTTGGGTCTTAGGTTGCAGCCAGTTGCTTTGACTTCGAGTTGAAGAGTGTGTGGCGGCTACCTCCTGGGTCAGTCCCTCTTTTCCTTAACTTTGGTTAAGTAGCTCCAGGGAGTTCAAGGGGCTCTCCTCAGAAAACCAGGCTTGAATGTAATGAAGCGCCATTTTCTGGGTTAGCCCTGGAGTCTCCCTGGCAACCCCCTCCCCCCTCCGGTTGCCAGTTTTTCATTGTTTGATGTTTGTTTTCCGAACTGGAATGGGTAGATCGCTGGCACTAGCGGTCAGGAGCTCCCCCTTCCTCTTTGAGAGATTACCTCGAGATGATTTCGGGGTTTAGCATCCCCGCGGCCCGGTTCTCGACCAGGCCTCCTCGTTGCTGGTCTGATCTTACCCCCTCTCCTGGGAGTAAAGGGGAAAAGCTAAACGGACGAGCAATGCAGCGAGGGAGTGTGACGTTTGCTTTTTTTCGTGGGATTGGAGGGAGTTTCTGCCTCTTTGTTCGGTTTTTGGTTGCAATTTTCTTACCATGTGGGGGTCAGTTTTATTATGCCAACCTTTCTGGGTGTCCAACCCTGGTCGATGGCAGTTAATGAAAAGGGGTTTTCCAGGGCCATTGCTTCCTGTGCCTCTCTGAGGGGGGGCCAGATTCTGGCTCATGGTTCCCGGTAAGCTGAAAGCCTTTGACTAATGCCCCAGTCTAATGAATTGTATATTAACCCAATAGCTCCAGGGAGCCTCTGGGGCTCACCTAGAAAATGGTGTTTCATTACATTTAATACACTTTTTCTAGGGGGAGCCCCATCAGCTCCCCGGAGCTTACTAGGCTGATATGCTAATGTCAGACTTTGGCATCAGTCATGTGTATGGAGTTCTGTGGGCCTGCCGAGGACCACGAGCCACAACCTGGCCCCCTCAGAGAGAGATGGGGAGCAATGGCCTATAGACGCCTCCCTTGTGGTTGGAAACATTCTATGTCTGCTATCGACCGCTATTTTTTCACATACGCAAAATCAAAATCCAAAACCTCGACCAGTATTGGACCGTTAATTACAAATGAAGGTACGTACACAGAGGACAACAAAGAGATTAGTGAAATTCTAAGAAGCCAGTATGAGGCTATGTTTAGCACACCAATAAACAACATGAAAGTTGATGACCCAGACAGCTTCTTTATGAATGACATTCAAGCTGCAGATAATATAACGGATATTACCACAAACTCGGAAGACTTTGAAAGAGAAATTGATAATATGCCTATGCACTCAGCTCCTGGGCCTGACTCATGGAATTCAATATTCATAAAGAAATGTAAAGTACCAGTAGCGAGAGCACTCAGCGTAATATGGAGAAAGAGCCTGGATACAGGGGAGATACCAGCAGCACTTAAATCTGCAGATATAGCTCCGTTGCACAAGGGGGGGAGTAAAGCCTTGGCAAAAAATTATAGGCCAGTTGCACTAACATCACACATAATAAAAGTGTTTGAAAGAGTGATTAGGAATCAAATTTCTAGTTTTATGGAAAACAATGAATTGCACAATCCAGGACAACATGGATTTAGAGCGGGAAGATCCTGTCTGTCACAGTTACTCAACCACTATGACAAAATCACAGAAGCCCTAGAAGAAAAGCAAAATGCAGATGTTGTATACACAGACTTTGCAAAGGCGTTCGACAAATGTGACCATGGGGTGATAGCTCACAAAATGAGGTCAATGGGAATAACTGGAAAAGTAGGACGCTGGATACTCAATTTCCTGTCGAACAGAACACAAAGAGTAACAGTCAATCAGATAAAATCGAGTCCAAGCGATGTTAAAAGCTCTGTACCTCAAGGTACAGTCCTTGCACCGCTACTGTTCCTTATTCTCATATCTGATATAGACAAAAATACACGCCACAGCTTCGTGTCGTCCTTTGCAGATGACACAAAAATCAGCATGAAAATTACCTCTGCTGAAGACATTGAAAAACTACAAGCAGATGTCAACAAAGTTTTTGATTGGGCAGAAGAAAATAACATGAT